GTTCACTGACTCATGCGGACTGGTGTCCTGGATCTTAGCAGGGAGAGGGGCGAAACCCAAATCACACGAGGAGGTGTCCAGGACATGAGCCAATGGCGCAACAGTAGCAGCAGTGGGTGGCTCATCTGTCAGGATTTAGCCACCACCAACCTCAGCGCACCATAGGCTCTCCCGCCTTTATATATATGTATATATATATATATATATATATATATATATATAGCCAAACTTGTTCATCGTCTTTCGGACCCCAACCAAGGAGCCGTGAAGCTCCTACCGAGGTCGGCTTCGTAGTGAGGTCCTTTATTTTTCTCCTTCAAGTCATCTCTTGGCCATCACTCCTCTTCTTCCTTCCACACCCCTGCGCGCGAACAACGCACGTCGCAAGAGGGTGGGCTGGCATGCGTAACACGTGGCCGAGTCATGGGAGTCTGGTGCGTGAAATAACAGTGCTAAGCCGTTCATTTCCTTTTTTCTGTGCCACAAACAAGGCGTCGAACACGCTCGTTGCTCGCGCGGTGTTCCCACCAGATGTGCGCCAAATTGCGTAGGCACCGGTGGTCGAACGTAACTAGCCTCTTTATGTCGGCTGACCTGAGGGGCCAGGTTTCACCACCGCACTCTACCCTACAGGGAGAGCAAGATGTCGCGCGGGCGCCATAAGTGACGATGGTTAGCAAATGCGCCTCGAACTTCTCCTATGCTGTTCATGACCTCATCTTCGATACCAGGGGCCCTGATATAACTTCCCAAGTAGTTGAATTTTTGAATGACTTCTAGCTGTTCCCTAGCAAGGGTCGGCGCAGGAGGCAGTCCCTGCCAATCTTGGAGGAAAACTTTGCATTTCGATGGTTAAAATCAAACCCCGAAACGGCTGTCCAGTGCTGCTTGGCACGCCTAGGAGCTGCCACAAATGAGGACCATACCGTCGTTCTCCTGGGAGCAGCTCCTATCTTCTAATTCGTGTCCTGTGAACGCGATCTCCATGACTTCGTCAATAGCCAAGTTGAAGAGCAAAGGTAACAGCGGGCATCCTTGTCTCACACCGCTTGAGATTTTGAAGGGCGGCGACAGCTTGCCGTAAGCTCTCACTCTAACCGAGCTATGCGCATATAGTGTGCGGATAATATTTACATATTTCTTGGGCACACCTTTCCTAGGGCACATCGATCAACCGAATCGAAGGCACCTCTGATATCCTGGAACACGACAACTGTAGGCCGCCAACGTAAGTGACGGTGCTCCAACAGTTGACGCAAAGTGAAGATGTGGTCGATGCAGCCATGACCTCAACGAAACCCAGCTTGATCCTCATGAATCTGGCTTTCACGAGCGCCAGCCAGCCTGTGAAGGATTGCAGAAGCAAGCAATTTGGTGGCGATGGGGATCAGACTGATTCCTCTATGGTCACCGCATACTCTTTGGTAGTGAAACTAGGCCCTTCGATCTGAGGTTCCTTCCAGGATTAGCTCATCGCTGTCTGCGAAACATTGCTGGTGTCGGATGGCACCAGCGTGTGTCCGCAACAATGATGCGCGTATGCGGGTGCTAGAAAGTGATAATTATGCTGGGTTTTTTAGAACAACAGACAGCATTGAATAAGTTGCGTTGGTTTGGGCACATACTACGTATGCCCGGTCACCGCTTACGCTGAAGGACCTCCTATTGTCTGCTAGATGTAGGGGAGCGCAAGGCTTGAGGTGGACATAATTTGATAGCGGGAATTAAAGCCACGGACTACGAGTGTCCTTGGTCCTCCTCATCATTCATCATTATACACGTTAGCTAGAGGGGGGAAACACCTCAGCTATTGTGCCGCAATACATAAGAAAGAAAAGACGAGCAACAAGCACACCGGCTGAGTCACCATTAACGGACGGACATCGTTCCGGAGTTCTAACAGTCGGTTGTTGTGCCGCGAAAACGAGTTACATTATGCCTGGTAAATGGGGTTGTGCTTGTAGGGAGGTCCGCCTCACCCTCCGGACTGTAGTCCACAGGATTCGCTTTGTGCTCGGCTCGAGACTTTACAGCCCATGGTTCCCAGTCGATATCACTGACACGTCTGCTGCCTTCCTGTAGTCTGACTGCCTGTTTAAATTGTGCTTGGTGCCGACTTATATGCGTGATAATAGTTGTTTATGACGCGGGGCAGTGAAAGCCGCAAAGAAGCTGTCGTGTTGATGCCACCTTATCTTTGCATGATAGCTAGCTGTCTGTGACGATATGCTTTTGATTTATGATGTAGGCGCATGGACCCTGAGTGTTTGTTTAAAGTCTCCCTTCTAGTATTCCCCGTTCGGTCGATCACCGTGATTGTACGGCAGCGAAGCATCAGTTCAGATGGTTGATGTATTGCTGTTGATAATGGTAATGTTCGGCCACCGCTTTCGAGGAGGATTTCTTGTTTTGTTTATCAGATGTTAGCTGATACATGCTTCAAGGTTTGGCTAAGTTGACTTTGCAGCGGGTAATGAAGTCACTGATGGTCAGGACGGGTTTTGTTTGTCCATCTTGCCTTCTAGGCTGTAGTCCACGCGACCCACCTTGGGTTTGGATCGAGACTTTACGGGACATGGCTTGCAGCCGTTAACAGTGATGCGTTTGCTGTCATTCTTTAGTCGGATTGGCTGTTTAACTTGTGTCTGATACTTATATGCTGAATAATGGCTGATTATGAAGCTGGCATTAAAGGCCGCAAAGAAACCGTCTCTTCGATGCCGCTTTATTTCTGCCCGTTAACTTTTTTGTGGCATTATATTGTTGAAAAATTGTGGGCCTTTTGACTATAGTCGTTTAGAGCATTTATGCTTTACACTAGATGCACCTCCTTTGAACCTTATTACTCATTATCCCCTATGTCATTATAGTTGTACAACAGCTAGACATCAACTCATACTGCCGATGTACTACTATTTCTGTCGTTTTGTCATTTTTACGACAATCGTATAACTATGAGGAGCCGGGACAACTCTGACAACAATTCACTGTTGACCCTGCTTCATCCAGTGTTACTTGAGTACCTCGGCCGGTGGCCGAGTAATATGCGTGTCTGGCTTGCAACCATAAAGTCACCGATACGAATCCACGTAGGGGCGGGCGTCCTTGCGGTATACTCAGCCCACGCGAGACTGGTGGTGGTCGCGTGGCAGCAAAGCGCCGTTACGGCGTGCAGCTGGTGATTTACTTTTTACTTAAATACAGGGACGCAGTGTTTATATTTTTCATAGTATAACTTTTCCGAGCAGTCACGTCAAAGAAGTTGGAGCGATCAACCGATCCACACGCGCTCCTGAAATCGAGCAACACAGTTGAAGTCAGCCCACAATACGTGCAACGCTTTTCCAACACTTGCTACAAAGTGAACATGTGTTCTGTATAACTGAGTGGAGACTCTCCTTCGTCCATTAGTTCCGTTCCGCATTAAGATTGCGAACGAGAATAGAATAATAAATACTAATAATAATGTGTCAGCTGTACGCCGTAACGGTGCTTCGCTGCCGCGTGACCACCACCAGTCGCGCGCGGGCTGAGTATACCGCGAGGACGCCCACCCCTACGCGGATTCGAACCAATGACCTCATGGTTGTAAACCAGACGCGCAGACCACTCGGCCACCGGTCGACAACAGGTTCATCGATCTCTCGGATATCCAGTGACTGGTGCGGTGACGATTGATAGTGCCACAAGCAGATGCTCCTGCGTCGTGCATAGTGGCCGAGATCCTATTCCACTGAAGTTTAGGGTCATTAGGACAAGACAGCGAGAGTCCGCTATGCAGTGCTTCTTGGTAGGCTTGCCTGACAGGGCTGGGACAATTTCTCCGTTGCCAATCGTAGGGGACACTTGGTGCGCCTCCCGGTAAAGTTCATGGAGAAACGACAGCGCACCAAGGCATGATCAGAGTCGACACAGGTACTCCAGTACGAGCGGCAATTCAGGATGGAACCACGCCATCTGTAACTTATGGCTATGTGGTCAATTTGTGTCCATCGCTGGCCAGCTACAGGAGAACGCCAAGTGGCACTTCGTCGCCCACTGTGTCTAAAAGTGGACGAGAATAGAAGCCAGTAACTTTTCATTAACAGCTTTATGGACAAACACGTTAAATGCTTTTGTTGGCTTATTAAGCCATAGTCGATTCTATCCGATTGGCTGCGGAGGATCTCACCATGACCACTAACTAGTGAAAGCTGGAGATAAGTCGAATCGGGATTGCAGAAACGGTTGTTGGTTGTACTGGTGTCCCGTCCCTTATCTACTATCGAAATGGCCCAGCCACATGTCGCCTGTTGAACTGCTGCTGTAGCTGCACCACTCATTAAGCCAGATGGCATTTCCAATTGCGGCCCGAGTTCCAGTGCTGTCTGTGATTACTTCATTGACTCTTACTTTCACGTAATTCCGTTATTACTTTGACTTTATATTTTGCTGTTTTTTTTGCCTACACTATATCTGGCATATTCGTTTGATCGCGCTTGCACCATTCCGTGCCCAGTGAACCATTAGCCGAATACTAGATCTTGGAAACTCCGCTTACATGGCACCGATTTCATCTGACCTTTTGTTTCCCCGGACCCTTATGAGTCTCATCACAGCTGAGCTAAGTAATCCGGTCGTGGACGTTTCCCTGCTGCGGCGATTCCACCTGTCATCCGCTGAATTTCATGTTTTTGTTTGGCTATATGTCCATTTATTAAACCGTTGGTTTTACCACTACTATGTTTACTTACCATGATTGGTGACAAAACATCTGCGATTAAACTATAAATCGGTGAACAAGTCGGTATGTCAGCGCCCAACCCGAACCATCGATATTTCTCTTATTGCAAGTAAACACACTTTGCCTAAGCTTCAGTACTTTCGGCCTTCCCCTCGTTAAGGGTTACTAGCTCTTTTTTTTACCACAGTTGTGTTTCTATGAAACATTTCCTACCCTCACAATGTTTCATTGCGAATTTTCAAATTGGATTGCGTTTTGCTGCAATCACTTTGTCTAGATCTCTCAGGATGCGGAGACTGACACCGGTGGCACAATAGAAGGCACCAATGGAAACCAAACATTTCAACCGACTTGTTCCACTGAACCCACCTCAGGATCAGATTCTGTTACCAAAACGCCGAACGTCCATGTCAGGCCCTCACCTACCGAAGCCCCAAGTTCAGAGAATGGATTCACTTCGTCAGGAGGTGCTTTCCTCAGTATTATGTCTAATTCTTCATCTGTCGATGTGGATGGAAGCGCACGTTTGCGCTCCCTTTGTGAGCTGAAGCAGTTGCCCGGGAATCCTCCTCCTGAGTCAGATTTTTCTCGTTCGATCACCCCTCCTGCGGCTTCCCTGCCATCGACTGATCCCGGTACATTGCGGCGCGTTCCGGATCCAGAAATTTCTCAGTTATTTCATTCTGCCGCCTTATTTCACGCATACCAACCTCATTGTGAGCAGGAAAACGTTGGCCATTGTGCTGGTGGCGGTTTGTTTGATGATTGGATAGATTCTCCATTGAAATCAAATGTGATACCTCAGGTAATAAACCCTCCATCATCAGCTGACTGTGCTCAATCGTTATCAGTGTCCAGCCCTTCTTCATCAGCAGGCGCAGTTTGTCCATCAAATCATATCCCTTATTCAGCAGGTGTTGGCATCGATCTCCCTCTTTGCTTCTCTCGCAGTCCGCAATCAGTCATGTCCAATCACTCTTCCTATCCCACGACACCTGGTGACGGGCTAAGCAGTGTTCCAGCAGTTCTCGCGGGTTTACCTGCCAGTGTTCCTTCTCCTCCTCTTCATTTGAAGTACGCCAATATACATTCAACTATGCACCCTTCTATTCGCTTGTTTGACGATCCGAAATCAAAAACACCGCTTCTTGAAACTCACGTGGAGGAGCAACCCCGTATCGCTCCACATGGCCTCGCCGCCTACCTTCCTCGCTCTAGCAGTTTACGACCTCAGTCCACGAATTCAGGACATTCCGATATTGTCGCTGAAGGCCTTAGATCAATGTCTCCGAAATCTTGCGCATCTCCAGATCGTGCTTTTTCCGGTCCAAATTCTGTGGGCACTGTAGAATCATCTTCCGGACCATCTTCAACTAACAAGGGTTTCGCAACTGCACCCCTCAGTGTGAATGCATCCTGCAGCCGAGCTTCCTGTGATCCGTCTCCCACATCAAGGACAAGTTTTGGAGGCCGATTTGCTGGTAGAAAAGTCCGTGGTGGTGAGTTATATCTATAGCTATTTTGTATTTTGTCAACAAACTTTTTTACTGCTTGTCGATATTGTTCTATTGGTCACCATGGATCTCCGAACTTTTTGTGCAGCGCGGTTCAGTTTCAAATTTTCGTTTATGCTGTCATCGGTTTTTGTGGCACTACTTCGACGAAGCTTCCGACGGGACCACTAAGTGAGCACTGAAGTTCATTGCTCTTTATTTGACAAAAGAGCTGACACAGCACTGTCTCAACTTTTTTACTTAAACTACCTATAGATGCGTTTACCGTATCTTTCGTATTCCAATCCATCGCCCACCTCAGACACAGCATCTTGCTGAATAAAACCTTGTCAACCGATGATATGGCAGAAGGCCGGAAAAGATTAACCACGAGACTTAACCGGCATAGCACTGTTGCGGGCCCGTCAAATATCCCCGCAAAAAACACGCCAGAAGCTCCGGCATAATGGCTATGGAAAGCGGGGTCCAATTCCTCCCCACAACGCAGCAGCGTTCAGCCACTCCGAGACGCGGCCCAACTGCGCACACGTTGACAATGTTCTTTTGCAAACTACCACCCCGTCGTGGTATAACTATTTTCCCTAACTTAATAGCCCATAGCATTGGTTGTGATTCGCCCTTTTTTGGTCGTAAAAGGGTCTTCAGAGGACCACTTACCTTTCTTTCTCTTCGCCTTAGTTGGGAGTCGGTCGGTCACGTGATTTTATGTGCGTCGTTAGCCGGGCAGCGTTCGCGTCTAAGTCATTAGTGCGCGTCTACCGTAACCCCCTCTCGTGTGCGTCCGTTCCGAGGGCACAGCGTCTACCCGAATACGTGCGGCTAGGATTGTTCTCACACTCGCCCAATTTCCGTCTCACCAGCACGTACCCCAGGCTAAGCTAACGCCATCAAGTCAAGGCAAATCCGTTCGATTGGCCAGCATTCCAAGCGGTTACCGTAGGCGTGCTCCAACCGCGCCAGTGACAATCTTATCAGGCGTTCTCTCAACCGTAACAAGCGCATACCGTTTTCGTGGATTGGATCATGGACCTTGCGCAACTTACCTATATCTGCAAGTTTGCGTTTTTCTGTTACCTGTGCCTTCTTCTCTTCTTTTTACCTGTCGCTCGAGTCAGTAACTGGATTCATCACATTCAAGTATCCGGATCACCGTAACCTAACTGAAGTGGGTCGACTGTGTGGTTATTTACACTGTTTCCTCGATGGATCTTTCTAGCACTAAACTTTGTACTACTGTCATCTTTACCTTCCCACACTGTGCCACCACCTTAACCTTCCTCCCCTCAGTCGGTTCTTTCTTAAGACACACGCGTTTTGTTTTCCTGTCTCTGTGACAACAGCGCTATGTATTCAACTGAATGGTTTGGGGTCAATCGGCTAGACCGATAATTTTTAAAACTATTCTGGCTACTGTTTAGGCTTGAATGTGTTGTTAATTTACGGAAATCATTTTACGTAAGATGCACGGTTGCCATGACCATATTTGGTTTCTTTGAAAGCTGCTTGTTTATGCCATATGTTGTTTGCGATGTACCTTGTTGCCTTCTCTGCCCAGGCCGACGTCGGCGCACTGAAGTGGAGGAGCTTCGAATTTGGAATGTGAACGACCACGCACAGCCAGAAATGGGACCGAAGAGTGGCAACATAGCCCAATTTTCAACTGGCGTTGCAGTAGACACATCGCGGCAAACCGAAGACAAAGGTCCTGCATTGGTAGGTGCCGTGGAAAGCCCTCTCCCTGATTGTGCCGGCCCTAGTCACTCCAAAGATTTTTCTATTACGGAGTCCGTCGCCGACCACGGTGTATTCACAGAAGCTTTGGTTGAACGAGTGAAGCGACGCAGACAGCAGCGTGAAGTAGGGTCACAGAGGCGCCAAACCAATCATTCCGATATTACATCTGTCCGATCGTTAGAATTGTCCCCGGAGTCCACGTCGTCTCCTGCACAGCCTTCGGCCATATGCATGGCTAATACTGCATTTTTCGGGTATGGTTCTTCCCACGACAATAGATCCCTTCTGCCCCCTGTACATAGCATCCAACCGAAACGCCCGCACACGAGATCCTCCGAAAGTGATACATCTTCCCCTTCTAATGTCGTATTCGTCTCTTCCATTGGCCCCACTAGATCTATCGAATTTATTTCTGCGCGAAGTATATCTCCGCTTCTTTCCACAACCCAGAAGCAGCATACCATTACATGTACAGCTCCTTCCTCCAAACCAGCCTCTCTAGGGTCTTCGATTGAACCCTCTTTCCCAATTTCCTGTCAGTCCTCTTCTTGTGACATCGACAATCTTATGAATTCCACTGAGCGAATGACTGTGATATCATCAAGAAGCCATCTCAGAGTACCGGATTTGCAAAAGTCCATACCTTCACGCTTGGATACTGCATTTCCCACGCAGTCACAGGGTACTGGTGGCGAGTTCAATGCGCTTCCTAATAACGACGTGTCTTCCTTGCTCCCCACGGAAAGGGATCCGCAGGTCGGTACCCTCTTTTAATGCTACGTGGACATCAAGTTTATCCTATTTCTCCTTGAACTCATTTCCAGGTATTTTGGTACTCAGTGGGTTTCTTCGCAGCCATATCTAGCTACACAGCTACCTCACAGTTTTAAAAGCACTGCACGACTGTTTCATCTCACTGCGATTTTTCAGCAGTGTGCATCCCATCAGTGTCTCAGAATTTGAACTCATGCTTAACTTTTAGCCATTGGTTTATTTTACTGAGTCTTTGTTGACGGTGATAGAGTGCTTGACTAAGTCACTAACTTCGTTTTAACACATCTCATCCGCCCCCTTGCCACACACCTTGTAGAGGGTAAGGTTGCTTCCTAAAGACTCTGTTTCCACCACTAATTCTTCAATCACTAGCTGCTCCTGCAACCTGTTTCGACTTGCCGCCGCCGTGTGTATTTGCAAGTGTTCTCTACTTGCAAACATATATCGATTTTTGCCCATTTTGAGGCAACACCGATGCTCTTCACTCCTCTCACTACATCTTTTCTTCTATCCCTTCTTTTGATTAGTCAAACAAAACTCTGTCATCGTACACTTTATCGAACAACCAGAAAAACCGCAAGGAAAGTCCCATGCCTCCTGCATTGGTCCCCGCATATGCTTACTCTCCAATCCACTGCAAGACTGGTCGCATAAGTGGCTATATTTCACATTTTGGGACCAACGAACCAGGTGCGTTCCCTTTTTTATCTACTGTCGTCCACCTAGCTTAATTCGGCCACATTTTGCTCTGCTTACTTATTTATTCCTTCTTTCATTTCACTGCCTGAGAATGTGAGCAGTTGTCGACTGCTCACCTCGACGTAAGACAAGGCAGCTCCTAGCTCCCACCGCGCCTCCTACCATCGCGCAATGATCCACTGCTGCATTTGAGTGGTATCCTGGTGTGGAGGTACTGCGAGCTCGTGGTCTTTTAATACGCAATCTACTTCAATTAGATGACACGCAGGCACGTCTCATTTTTTGGTGGAGTTTCGTCACAATTGGACTCAGGCAGACAGCCACCACACATACATGAAAGCGTTAGACGGTTGTTTCACCGTACTTGGACTCATCAATGGCGCCCCCCCCCGAATCCTGCCGGAATCGAACTCACGATCTTACTCTTGCGATCCAGCGACTTATGCCACTGAGCCATTCGTCACCCATATGTGGTAGCTGTCTTTCTGCTTATAGTTTTACGGTACTTTACCGAAACCAAATAAATTCCCCTACTACCCACTAATATCTCATCATCCTCGCTCAATTTTAAGGGCGGCACCCGCTCGTCCAATTTTCAGCCTTCCCATAGTAATCGTGTTGTACCAACGCTCTCCTGGTATTCATTATGTGCTTCGCATGGGGTGCCTAACGGACCAGTTCCTCTAGATCAGACAATTACTTCAGCAGCGGTTCACTGCGCTCAGTCTCATGTCTAGTGCTTCTTCGGAAATGGCCACCTACCTTTTATCATATGCTTATCAGGGTTCTGGGCTGTATTCATCCTTACCTAGTGCCCTGTGTAACTTAAGCTCCGATTAGAAGGCAGTACGTTTCCTACGGTGTTCGGAAATGGACGCTGCTGCTAATGCGCCCAGTGTACACGGTGCTCAACCAATTAATGCGCACCTTGTAGAGTTTCACAAATATAACCGAGCTCCTGTTTCCTTGGTAAGTATTCCCGCCACCTCTTTTTTTCC